TTCTACAGCCTTCTTTAAAAAAATTTAAGGTATAACCACGATAAAAGATTCAGTTCATTCATTAATGACCAAGAAATCCCAAGTTCTTTCCAATGAAGTTAATTCTTAAGTCACTTCTCTTTTGGAAAACAGTATTTGCAATACAGGACATCCACTTCTGGTGACTTCCTAATTTATTCCTCTGCAGTTTCAGAATTCCTACCATTTGTGTATACACTATAATCTCTTTACTAGCAGTTTTCAGAGGCTCAGAATTTCCTTTCCTAAATCAAGCCTACTCCTAACATGGTTTTTTTCTCAAAGCTGTAATTATTCTAAATGCTATTCAACAAGCATTTTCATCAATATTAGTTGTGCTTGATCAAGAGTCAGATCTCTATTCCTATGACTTAATAAACAATAATACTTCAGTCAACAAGTTGGAACTGTCTTAAGGAGTAGATGACTATAACAAATGAAAACAACTTTCAATCCCTTGTCTTTGGAACTCCTACGGTCTCTCTCACAAGGGCAGGGACAGGAGCAGCATCATTTCCTGGCCTCTGTTGTACTTGCTTTCCTGTATAAACTACTATCGTAGCATTTATCTAGAATAACATTTTTTAAGGGAGGAAGGAGGATGACAAAATCTTTTCAAGGTAAATAATTAAGTTGTGTCTTCACGTCCCAGCACGTAGATGATGTATAAGTAAGGTTTATAACACTAATTCCTCTAATGGATATGCAGATTGAGGTTCAGATGCTAGGAGCACAACCATGGTCACATGTGGAATTAGAGGCAGACATTCAATCCCAAATTTCTACATACCACATTCTATGTACTGTACCCATGAAGCCCTAATGACTCCCAGCACTTGAAAAGCAGCAATTTCACACCTCCTAAAGCACCTCAGACACTTGTTACCTGAAATATGGAGAAAAATGACTGGACACTTACTAGTGGTGTCTTCTCTATCCTCAGATTTTGACAGTCTTCTTTTGGAAACCATTTTGACCAAAGTCAAATTCTTTCCTAGAGCAAAATCAAGAGACCATAAGTTATCTACTAGAAGCTAAATCATGAAAACTTAAAAGCCATATAGCCCAAAGAAACTTCTATATCCAAAACCACAGATCTGCTATTTTCCACATGAATGCTATCTAAATGCAGGTGTGGAACAAATTTCCACTCTTGGGGCCAGCACTGTGGCACAGTAGGTAAAGCTGCTGCCTGCAGTGCTGGCATCCCATATGAGCGCCGGTTTGAGTCCTGGCTGTTCCACTTCGATCCAGCTCTCTGCTGTGGCCTGGGAAAGCAGCAGAAGATGGCCCAACTCCTTGGGGTCCTGCACCACGTGGGAGACCCAGAAGCTCCTGGTTCCTGGCTTTGGATCAGAACAGCTACGGCCGTTGCAGCCAACTGGGGAGTGAACCAGTGAATGGAAAACCTCTCTCTCTCTGCCTCTCCTTCTCTCTGTGCAACTCTTTCAAATAAATAAATAAATCTTTTAATAAAAATTTCCACTCTTGGGCCCAGCCCTGTGCTGCAACATGTTAACGCCCTGGCCTGAAGCAATGGCATCCCATATGGGTGCCGGTTCAAGTCCCAGCTACCCCACTTGTGATCCAGCTCTCTGCTATGGCCTGCAAAAGCAGAAGATGGCCCAAGTCCTTGGGCCCCCGCACCCATGTGGGAGACCCGGATGAAGGTCCTGGCTCCTGGCTTCGGATTGGCGCACCTCCGGCCGTGTGGCCTACTGGGGAATAAACCATCGGATGGAAGACCTCTCTCTCTCTCTGCTTCTCCTCTCTCTGTGTAACTCTGACCTTCAAATAAATAAATAAATCTTTAAAGAAATGTCCACTTTTGCACCTAGTCTGGTCAAAACTGCCTTCCTTTCAAGTCTTCCCCAGTCACCTGGTAGCCCTCCAACTGAGATTCCCGACCCTTCATTACCCAGCCCCAAGTGACCTGTCCTTTAACAGTGTAATTCAACACTATATTTTAGGGACTGTGTTTGGTGCTGGAGCAACAACTGTGAGCAAGCCAGGTATGACTCCTGCTTTTACAGTATAAAATAGTACAGCTGTATACGGTATAAAGTGAATTTAACTACAGTTGTGTAAACGCTATAACGTACATAACACTGTGAGGGCTTACAAGAAAATCTGGTAGAGCTGGGGGTAGGAGTAAGGAAAAACAAGGACAATTTCTCAGGGACAGTCTCTCTGAGGAAGTGACTTTTAAGCAGGGACGTGTGGGCTGAAAAACACGAAGAGGCCTGCAGAGTTAGACAGGAGACTGCAGAGGCGGAGGACAGCCTGGACGCACAACCTTCTACCTCATCCTGTCTCAGCACCCCTGCACAAAGGCATATTTTTCCAATGAAAATAATCTTAAGTCTGGAAATTCTAACCTTCTTCAAAGATCAAAGGTCACCTTCCTAGAGAACTGTCTCACCTGTCTTCAGTTTGCTCCTCCAGCCTCCCTGCTTCACACACAGCAGGGAGCCCCACACTCACAGACCGCGGGGGTGGGGCTCCGCGGGAACAGCCCAGTCCCACCTAGCTCAGCGTCCTTGCACCCAGCAGTTATTTCTAAGAATCGTCAAGAATGGCCGGCAGAGGTGAAGCACCACGAGCTAACAAGGGCTTTAACTTTTTTACACTTTAGTAATTCACTTGTTCCCCACAAAACCTTTTTTAAGTAAGTACCTTATTCTCACAATCAATGGCCAACTCAGGGAGTCTGGGTCTAGAAGCTGCTCTCTTTACTACCTAGAAAGCATTTCAAAATGGAATTAAAAGATGTTTTGGTTCAAAATGTTTTCTAAATCCATATATAGTTTTCTCATAAAATGTTCTTATGAATTTTTTGCAGATCCCTGATGTACGTATGCATGGGTTTCAAAATTTGGGGTGGGGGGGGAAGGGCTGACACTGTGGTGCAGCAGGTAAAGCCACCACCTGTGACACCAGCATCCCTTATGGGTGCCGGTTCAAGTCCTGGCTGCTCCACTTCCAACCCGGCTCTCTGCTATGGTGCCCGGGAAAGCAATGAGGGATGGCCCAAGTGCTTGGGCCACTGCGACTCGTGGGAGACACAGAAGAGCCTCCCGGCTTTGCCCTGGCCCAGCCCTGGCTGTGTGGCCATCTGGGCAGTAAACTAGCAGATGGAAGATCTCGCTCTGTGTATCTCTCTCTTTAACTCTGCCGCTCGAATAAATAAATTTTCAAAAAGAAAACAGTTTTCTACCATCTGGTGGGCAGCTGGGGCAGCAGTAAGATGCTGCTTAGGACAGTGGCTTCCCATAATGGAGTGCCTGGGGATGATTCCTGGCTCTGCTCCCCCCTCCCACCTCCTGCTCACGTGCACCTAGGGAGCAGCAGGTGATTGGGTCCTGCCTCCCCTGTGGGAAACCTGGATTGAGTTCCCAGCTCCTGGCTGCAGGCTGGACCAGCAGCAGCGCATTTAGGGAGTGAACCAGGGGACGGATGACCTCTGTGTTTCTCTCTCTTTCTGCCTTTCAAATAAATAATAAATGAAATTTATTAAGCAAAGAAATGGTGGAGCTGGTGCTGTGGCACAGAAGGTTGAGCCTCCGCCTGCCGCACCAGCATCTCGTATGGATGCAGCTGCAAACCCTGGCTGCTCCACTTCCTATACAGTTCCTTGCTAATGTGCCTGGGAAAGCAGCAGATGGCCCAAGCCCTTGGGTCGCTGCACCCACGTGGGAGACTGGGAAGAAGCTCCTGGCTCCTGGCTGTAGCCTGGCACAGCCCCAGCTGTTGTGACCATTTGGGGAGCGAACCAGCGAATGGAAGGAAGGCTTCTCTCTCCTTCTCTCCTTCTCTCTGTATCGCTGCCTTTCAAATATACAAATAAATCTTTTTTAAAAAAAAAAGAATAAAAACAGCTCAGGAAACATGTGAAGCATCATTATTATTTAAGATTTATTTACTTGAAAGGCAGAGTTACAGAGACAGAGTGACCGATCTTCCTTCTGCTGGTTCACTCCCCAGACGGCCCAGGGGCTGGAGCTGGGCCAGGCCCCAGCCAGGAGCTTCCTCCGTGGGTGGCGGAGCCCACGCACTCGGGCCAAGCCCGCCATTTCACCAGCGGATTAGCAGGGAGGCGGCCGGAGTGGAGCAGGCGGGCCTTCGACGGAGGCGCCAGCGGCAGGAACTCGCTGAGCCACAACACGGGCCTGCGGAAAACTATTTTTTTTTATTTCTCCACCAAAACAAACCCCTTTATAAAAATTCTGTTTTCCATAAGCTTCCTGACCTAACAGTGTCACCATTCCTGATTACACTAATAATTTAATAAGCTAACTTATGACGTATCGGGCATTCTGTTCTGAGCTTTTACTCTCCCCCTCGCCTCCACTGATGGTGTATAACCGCTATCGTCCACCCTGCAAACGTAAAACCTAAGGCAGGTCTGGACCGCCCGACCTCGAGGCACGCCGCGACGTGCGACCCCACCAGGCGTCGCGAGAGGCCGAAAAGGGCGAAGACGAGGCGAACGCCCGGGCCAGGGCATCTGGGCACCGGGGAGGGCCACAGCCTTTCGTCATCTTAACGACACAGCGCAGTACCTGAGGGGCTATTCCAAGTCGGGGCAGACGAGGGCGCCGAGGTCGGGGTGCGTCGCCCCAGAGGGTTGGCTGGGCCCGCTCGGGCCTCCAGACCTGGCCGCGGGGCCTGGACAGACGACCGCTGCCGCTTCACTCACCCTCGGCGAAGCCGTCACCGCCCTCCGCTATCGACTTTTCCCGCCAGCCGCGACGTCGCTCTTACGTTAGCGATGCGCGCCGGGTCGTGACGTCAAAACTGCGCGCCGGAAGTGGGCCGCCTCGGGGTCCCTCTGGAGGCGGCGCGCGAGGCCCGAGGCTGGCACGGAGATCCGTGCCTGACGGGCCGAGGGGCGTGAGCAGGCCCGCACCCCGAGAGGGAACTTTGCACCCCGGAGAAGAGCAAGCCGGCCACCCGAGGCCGGGAGCCGGCTTTCAGGTAGGATGGCGGGGCCGGAGCTGCTGCTCGACTCCAACATCCGCCTTTGGGTGGTCCTGCCCATCGTTATCATCACTTTCTTCGTGGGCATGATCCGCCACTACGTGTCCATCCTGCTGCAGAGCGACAAGAAGCTCACCCAGGAACAAGTGTCCGACAGGTCAGCGGCCCCCTGCCCTGCCGACCCGACCGCCCCGTGACCTTGCGGGTCTGTCGCGTTGCCTCGCTCGGGTCGCGCCGCGCGCCCGCTGGCCGAGCGGCCTGGACCGTTACCCCGGCGTCCCGCCGTCGTCCAGTGCACGTGGGACGATAACCGTGCGGGCGTGGGGGTTGGATGGGTGATGCCCGTAGGGCCCCCAGCACGGGCAGTGTCGGGCGCGCTGGCGGCGCAGCCCGCGTCCCGGCCTCTCGAGCCGAGGGCCTGCCCTGCCCTGGCCGGACGTCCGCCTGTAGTGTCCGGGACGCCCGCCCCGGCTGACGGCGGGAGCAGGCCGAGGTGCCGAGTGAAGCGCGCTTGCAAGCTCGGCCGGTGTCCCTGGCCGTGTCGGGGCTGTGATTCTCTCTTCCGCTCCGAAGGGGGAGGCAGCGGCTTCGCCGTAGCTTCGTTGCAGCACCTGTCTGCGGAGCCGGGAACTGGGGATCTGGACTTGCGCCCCTCGCTGTTCCTCGGAGTGATTATGTCCGGCCCCTGGGGATTATTTTCAGGGACCGTCTGCTCCTATATGCTTGACCACTGCCTGTCACCTGCTGATCTCACATTTTAACAGAGAGCAAGCCAGGCCTTAGAACCTGACATTGGCAGGTTGAAACTTAATGTTTTTATCATATTTATTTTTTTAACAGTTACATTTTGTGGCGAGTAATACTGGATTTCCCTAACTCAGAAATTCCTCTACATTCAAAATATGGAGGCAGGAAAAAGCTAAATAGGCGAAACGTTCAGTGTGTAACAGCACAAGTGCTGCTGGAAGGGGACACTGAGTCTCGGGAACACTGCCGGATCCTTTCAGTTTTATTAAATATGTAAAACTCACAGCAGCTCTGTAAGCTCAGTGCTGTTGTTAACTGTAGAAACCGAGGCTTGAAGAGGCCTCGTCAGCACACCCAGTGACGTTCAGGAATCTGTGTTTTCTGTAGAATGTATTTATTTGCAAGAGAGCATGCCCCCCCAGCTGCTGGCTTACTGCCCAGGTGCCCTCACCAGGGAGGGGGGTCAGGGACTCAGCTGGGGTCTCCCACGTGGGTGGCAGGAAGGCCGTGCCCTCTGCCTCCCAGGATCTGAATTAGCTGGAAGCCAGGTCCAGGGCCTTAGCTGGGTATTGAACCCAGGGACTACGACGTGGGTCCAGGCATCTCATCTTCTGGTCTCCGAGTCTAGGGCTCTTTGCAGTACACCACAGAGGCCACTTGATTATTTGTCTGTGACATCAGTATTAGGAGTGACCAAAGGCAGCTCCCTGGAGCTGTAGAAAGGCAGGCTACAGAGAGATGCCAAGTGGAGGGAAGCAAACATTGACCATTCACTGATGCCTGAAAGTTGTTATTATAGTACATATAAAAAATGGGCCCCTCCCCCAAAGTGCAAGCGTGGGTCTGAGGCTCGGATAGTGCGCTTTGCTGAGATCTTCCAAGGCAGTGTGGGGCGTGGAATGCTCTGTGTGCTTCACGCTGTTTGCAGCATTCAGGGATGCTAAGATCCCTCACCAGTAATGATTGACAGTTAGGTGGCAGCTCTCCCCCGCCCCATCATCTGACAGAGTTCCCCTAGAGGGCAGGACCACCCCCGGAAAAGCACTGCTTTACAGAAAATTCTCTTGAGCATCATTTGAACTTGGGTCAAGTGCCATGTGTTCTAAAACAGCCCAACTCCAGGGCAAAAGGTGTCTTTCAGCTGTAAACGTCTAACTACAGTATACATTTCTTTTAGCCTGAGTGGTCACAAAATAGAATGGTTTCTTTTAATTTTTATTTATTTTTATTTTATTTTTTGATTTTTTTTGACAGGCAGAGTGGACAGTGAGAGAGAGAGAGACAGACAGAAAGGTCTTCCTTTGCCATTGGTTCACCCTCCAATGGCCGCCACGGCCGGTGCACCGCGCTGATCTGATGGCAGGAGCCAGGTGCTCCTCCTGGTCTCCCATGGGGTGCAGGGCCCAAGCACCTGGGCCATCCTCCACTGCACTCCCTGGCCACAGCAGAGAGCTGGCCTGGAAGAGCGGCAACCGGGACAGAATCTGGCACCCCAACCGGGACTAGAACCCGGTGTGCCGGCGCCATAAGGTGGAGGATTAGCCTAGTGAGCTGCGGCGCCAGCCTGGTTTCTTAAATTATTAAAATTTTACTGTCTGGTAACTTAAATAAAATGTTCTTTTTTCACTTCATTTTGAAGTTTTAATTTGAAAGAGTTGGGGTGGGGTGGGGGGGACGGAGAGATCTACCAGCTGGTTCTCTCCACAAATGGCCACAACAGCCGGGGCAGGTCCATGCCAAAGCCATGAGCCTGCAGCTCCATCTGGGCCTCCGCATGGGTGGCAGAGGCCCAAGCACCTGAACCCTCCTCAGCTGCCTTCCCAGGTGCGTTAGCAAGGACCTGCATCGGAAGGGCAGCACCCGGGACTCCAGCAACCGCTCATAGGAGATCCTGGCACCACAGGTGGCAGCTTCACCTGCTGTGCCCCAGTGCTGACCCCAAAATGCTCTACTAAGCACTATATTAAACCCAAAATGGAAAATACACGAATGGATTAGACCAGGTTTGGAGACACAGAGGTGTACAGAAAGTGGTTCTCAAACGAAGCCTGGACTCGAAAATGACAGTCACAGAACCTTAGCAGTGTGGGAATCTGGACTTAAAAGCACCGACTTCAAAACTGAAACTTTGTTCTGAGAAAATGTCTCACTTGCAGATTGCCAAAGCTCTACCCTTGTAACCACTACAAGGACTATTTCCAGATTATCGTGGAAATCAGAACACACAGAAACTTCCTGTAAGATTTGCAGACCACAGAGAATCTGGCTGTGGGTTTCCGATGGAGACGCGGAGGGATTGGCAGGTACAGGATGACTGAAGCTCACCAGGAGTCAGGGTTTCAGGATTTCAATGATCAACTCCAGTTCTACAGAACTGTTCATACCCAGGAGACCTAGCTGATTTTCTGTTCACCTCAGTGCCTGGAAAAGGCCTCGGTTAATAAAGTGAACAAGTTCTTGAAGCCCTAGTGCGTGTCCTCACTGCTGCACGCTGTGGGGTTCAGAGTAAGACACAGGCAGGACCCTGCTCTCCACGAGTGTGAGTCCGAGTGATGAGTCACACACAGGGAAAACAGGAGCTGCCTCAAATGCAGAGCCTACGATACGCTGCGCATACAGGAAATCACTGTGGAGGTGATAATGTTTAAAAAACACCTCAGTTTAAAACCCTTCGCTATTCTCTTCGTGTTTTGTTTTGTTTTGTTTTGTTTTTGTTTTTGTTTTTTTTTAATATTTATTTGAAAGGCAGAGTTACAGAGAGATACCTTCCATCTTCTGGTTCATTTCCCAGATGGCCACAATGGCCAGGGTTGTACCAGGAGCTCCATCTGGGTCTCCCACGTGGGTGCAGGGGCCCAAGCACTTGGACCATCTTCCGCTGCACTCTCAGCGCATTAGCAGGGAGCTGGATGGGAAGCGGAGCAGCCGGGACTCGAACAGTGCCTATATGGGATGCCAGTACGACAAGCAGCGGCTTTACCCGCTGCCCCACAGCACCGACCCCCACTTGGCTCTTACCCAATACAGCGGAGCCCTGCTGCCTCGTGTAGCCTGTCTACGCAGAAGCTTTTCCTCAGCAGGTTTTCTCCACTCCCAGGCAGAGCGCCTCTCCTCAGGTCCGCGGCAGCATGTGCTGCTGCTGCAGGGCCCTGTTCCCGCCAGCTGCCCTGAGGGTTCCGGCGGAATTGCACATCCTTAGCAACACTTGTCTCCATCCTGGCTGCCCGTCAGACACTCCCACGATACCCTCCCACTCCTGCCCAGGATGTGGCAGCTGGTTTCACATGTGTTCCTTCCTGTGAACGTGTGATTACATTTCTTCCCCTCACTAGACTGACTTTGGTGAGATATTTGCATTTTGACTAGAAGGTTTTTGTTTTTTTTTTTTTTAGATTTATTTATCTGAAAGAGTTACAGAGAGATTGTCTCTTTGCTTTTCAAATAAATTTTTTAAAGAAATTTTTCAAAACAAGTATTTGTTCAAAGAAAGACTCAATCAGTTATTGCACAGAGTTCAAATGGAAGCTTAGAGACTCAAAATGGTCTGCCGAAAGAACACCTAGCTAGGAAGTGGCAGATTTATTTATTTGAGGGGCTGGTGCTATGGCACAGTAAGCTAAGCCTCCGCCTGTGGCACTGGCATACCATAAGGGTGCCATTTCTTGCCTTGGCTGCTCCAATTTGAATCCAGCTCCCTGCTTATGGCCTGCAAAAGCAGTGGAGGGTGGCCCAAGTGCTTGGACCCTGCACCCATGTGGGAGACCTGGAAGAAGCTCCTGGCTCTTGGCTTCAGATTGATCCAGCTCTGGCCGTTGCAACCATTTGGAGAGTGAACCAGCGAATGAAAGAGTTCTCTGTCTCTCTAACTCTGCCTCTCAAATAAATTAAAATCTTTAAAAATAAATAAATAAGTGGCAAAGACAAGACTCAAACCCATCTAGGCAGCTGCATGCTGAAATCAGTACCCGTTGGTCTAGCCCTGGTGCCTCCTAATGGTCAGTGGTAAAGGGTGCATTGAGGGGGTTTCTCTTGGTAATTTCCAATCTATAGCCTGATACTGTTGTAAAATGTTTTGATTGCACTGTTTGAATGTTGTGCCACTGTCAGATTATAAAAGTCTGTAAGCCTGTCCTGTCAGTCTGCACTTAGCACAGACCAGCATCAGTACAGAGCCATGCTTTCACTTTAGACTAGCTCACCGGGCACCACGTACTCCACATCCCCTCCATGGGCCTGTGTCAGCTGTACAGCATGAGGAGGCCAAGAGAGAACCCGCGGGCGCCAGACCTCAGGAAGACAGGGCCTGAGGCACTTTGGGCTGGAGTCCATAGAGAAGCAGCTGGAACGTGCAGTGCGGCGAGGAGGCCCCAAGGGTGCTGGCTGCACAGAGCAGGTCACTTCGCATTGTGACACCTCCGTATCCGGAGGGGAGTGGCTCCAGGACCCCTGTGGTGCCCAAATCCACAGACACTCCAGTCCCCTCGCACATCCTCACGGTCCCTTACCCATCTGATGCAGCATGCGTGCCGCGCAGAGCTGTCACGCCGCACTGCCCATCTGATGCAGCATGCGTACCGCACAGTGCTGTCACGCCGCACTGCCCATCTGATGCAGCATGCGTACCGCACAGTGCTGTCACGCCGCACTGCCCATCTGATGCAGCATGCGTACCGTGCAGTGCTGTCATGCTGCACTGCCCATCTGATGCAGCATGTGTACCGTGCAGTGCTGTCACGCCGCACTGCCCATCTGATGCAGCATGCGTACCATGCAGTGCTGTCACGCCGCACTGCCCATCTGATGCAGCATGCGTGCCGCGCAGAGCTGTCACGCCACACTGCCCATCTGATGCAGCATGCGTACCATGCAGTGCTGTCACGCCACACTGCCCATCTGATGCAGCATGCGTACCGCACAGTGCTGTCATGCTGCACTGCCCATCTGATGCAGCATGTGTACCGCGCAGTGCTGTCATGCTGCACTGCCCATCTGATGCAGCATGCGTACCATGCAGTGCTGTCACGCCGCACTGCCCATCTGATGCAGCATGCGTACCATGCAGTGCTGTCATGCTGCACTGCCCATCTGATGCAGCATGCGTACCGTGCAGTGCTGTCATGCTGCACTGCGTGAGAGTGAAGGCCGTCTGTACGTGTTCAGACCACGCAGTTTTTTCCCAGTTATTTTCCATCTGCAGTTGGTGTCTGGTTGAATGTGAGGACCTGGAGCCCTTGGATGGGGAGGGAGGGAGGGAGCCGTACAGTTTGCTTGTGTCCTTCTGCGTTTATTCCCACTTTTCAAGAAGGGTTTCCATTGACTTAAGAGCTTTTTCTCACTCCTTTAAACAACTTTTCAAAACCTAGGAAAAAATTGTATTTTGATCTCTGTTGTGCTTAGCATTAGTATCTTGGCAACACAGTCACCCTGCGCCCTCTAATGATCGACTGTGCACTTTTTGCCAAATGCTTCCGTGTACTAATTCAGTAAATGTTTACCGAGTGCTTGCTGCTATCTGAATCCTGGGTGGGATTTCCGTGTGCTGCCCGTGAACTCCCAGCAGTCCTGTTTCCACTGCTCTGCACCTAGCTGCCACGTTCCCGTGGGTGTCCTCGCCCTTCCGCTCCGGCTGCCCCCAAGCTCTCTGAGCAGTGTCCAGCTGCTGTACTTTTCACTCGGCCTGTCGGGAGAAGCTGAGTGCAATGTCCTAAATCAGCAGCCTTTATTCGGAAACGCAGGCACTTCTGAAAAACACCTTTCTGAATTGTCCTCGGATACTTGCATCTTGGAAAGTTTTCACGCCGAGCTGCTGCCAAGTAGGCCTGCCGTTGTGTTCCAATAGGCCTTCTCCTTCACTCTCGCTCCCTTCTCGCGACCCACTTCTAAAACTCTCATTGTCTTGGTTGTGTTTTTCAGTCAAGTCCTAATTCGGAGCCGAGTCCTCAGGGAAAATGGAAAATACATTCCCAAACAGGTACTCACTTATCTTTTATTAAAAAGCTCCCGATTCACTGTGGAGGACAGCGGATACCTGAATGTTTTATAAGGGCCTCTTTGGGGAAAGCCAGAGGCTGGCAGCGCGGTAATTAAGCTGTGGCCCAGCGGTGTTGGCTGTCACCATGGCCTCACCCTTCTTGAGAAATTGTTTTTAAATGTGACTCAGCTAAAATGTCAGCTCGGCTGCCAAGTGGGCTGACAGCTTGGAGTGCAACAGCGTCTTCCAAGGGCCTCTGCCTACACCTCTGGGACTCGTTTGACAATTTGCTGTGTCATAGTTCTTGGACTTAAAAAGCTTTTTCTCTTCATGCTAGTCTTTCTTGACTCGAAAATATTACTTCAACAACCCAGAGGATGGATTTTTCAAGAAAACAAAGAGGAAAGTGGTACCCCCTTCTCCTATGACTGGTATGTATGTTCTGTCTGTCACCCTCGGGGGCTGGGGGCTGGGGGCTGGGGGCTGGGGGGTGGGGGTGGGGGTGGGCATGGCACTGTTGCTTTATTTGAATGTTCAGTGGTAGAAGGTGCTAAGCCAAGGGACCTGAGAAGTCATCTGCTATAGGGAGCTATGGCAGTGTGCTTCTCTTTTCCAGGTAAATCTGGGAACTCCAGTGTCTAAGACAGATTTAGGGAAAATAGACTGTGGGCTCATGGAGTGGGGAGTCTGGAGCCATTGGCCCTGACACACTTAGCTTTCCAGCCCCAGCTCCCACCAGGCTGGGCCCTGGTGCCAGCACCTGGGGCTGCCCAGCTGCTGCCTGAGGAGGAGGTGCCCACGCTCACCACAGCAGCTGTGCCTGTTGAGCCTGGTTATTTGGTCCACCCTGCAATTTCTGCTGTAACAGAATTTGTACTTGCACTCATACCTGTTGTGAAAAATGCAGCACGCTAACAAAGCGATGCACTGTCCTGCGTTGCCTCTCCTCTGAGTTGTGCCCTTGTCTGTCTGTAGGTGGCTTGAACATCCTTTTCAAACCGATGTACGGGCCCCAGAGCTCATTTCAATGAGTCTTTAAGAAAACTTATAAGAAAAATGCCAAAAAGTACATAATGACATACTTGACCCCACTAATGATTCATGGAGTTGAAACAAGACCACCTGTGGCTGGCATTGTATGTAGCACAGGAGGAAGGGCCACAGGATCCCTTATCAGGGTGTGGATAGAGTCCTGTCTGCTCCACTTCCATTCCAGCTGCTTGCTAATGCGCCTGAGAAAGCAGCTGATGATGGCCCACGTCCTTGAGTCACCAACACCCATGTGGGATACCTGGGTGGAGTTCCTGGCTCAGCTTCCATGGGGCCCAGCCTGGCTGTTGTGGCCATCTGGGGAGTGAACCAGAGCATAGATGATACCCCTCCCTCCCTCCGTCTCTCTTTTTATGGCTCTGCCCTTCAAATAAATAACTTTTGTATGTTATTTTTTTTTTAAGATTTATTTTATTTATTTGAAAGGCAGCATGAGGCAGAGAGAAGAGATCTTCCACCTGTTGGTTTACTTCCCAGATGGCCAGGAGCTCCATCCTGCTCTGCTCTGTGGTTGTCAGGGGCCCAATCACTTGGGCTGTCTTCTGCTGCCTTCCCAAGCAGAGCGGCTGGGCTGGAACCAGCACTGTACTGTGGGACGCAGGGTCTCAAGCGGCAGCCCAGCCGCCCCTGCTGTCGTCACTGTCACCACTGCTGGGAGTGCCAATGGTGGGGCCTCACCACAGGACAGCCTGCCCTCACAGTTACTCACAAATGCCCCTACCTGGAAGTCCTCCGACAAACACGTCAGCGTGGAAGAGTTATGGACACATAGCTGTCGGCAGCATCACTTACTGGCAGAAAAAGGTTGTGAACATCTCTAGGTTCACCCAGACAGGATCGGTGCCATCTCACAGACACCCACAACACTGAGAGAGGGAGTGTACCGTGTGGCAGCACCACCTGCAAAATGGTAAATGTTTTAGGACGAAGAAGCAGCATAGTTAGCATTGTCCCCATATGTGGTGTGTTTGTGTATGTACATAGAAGTGGAAGGATACGCAACCCACAGAAGAGTGTAGACGAGGCTCAGAACTGTCTACCTCACACGTTCTGTCCTTCAATTCTGTTTTACAATTAACTTGTATTATTGTATTTATCAAATACATTAAACATTTATAAAAAAATTTCTAGAAAAAGCAGAGCAGGTCTCTACCAGCAGAGGTGAAATCTCACGGTGTCTTGTGCTCTCGCCTCAGATCCCACCATGCTCACTGACATGATGAAGGGCAACGTGACCAACGTCCTCCCCATGATTCTCATCGGTGGGTGGATCAACATGACGTTTTCAGGCTTTGTCACAAGTAAGCAGCCGGCCCAGCCAGCCTCAAGTTACTCCCTTTCCCACGTGTCTGTTCTGAGACCCTAATGACCCAGGACCCGCGTTTGGTTTTTGTTTCTATGGAAGCTGATGATATTCTTTGAACAAAAAAAAATTAATGCACTGTGATTTTGTAGCTCTTCTTCCAAAAGACTCCCAAGTTTGGGATGTGGATGCTTTTTTAGTAACAGAAACTCAGATGAGTGACGTGCGTGATGGCTCTGTCAGATCTAGTGTCGTAGCTAAGTAGCAGCTGGGGAAGCCTCTTGCTGTTTGACCTCATTTGCTAGGTACTGGGGTGACTCCTGTGCCTGTTGGTTTGTAAGTTCACCTTCTTCATTGAGACCAGCAGCAGGTTCTTGGTCTGTGTGTCCCCGCGCAGTTGAGCCGGCTGGGGCAGGGCTTCGTCCACGCTGGAAGGAGCTGCACTGGACTCTGCTTGCTCAGCAGCCCAGAAGCTGCTGTTCTGAGGGACGCTGAGCAGAGACGTATGATGGCTTTTTCTTCGGGAATGGTGGCACGTTTCCTCGGGGAAGTCATTTTCTGCAAGTCAAGTTCCCACCTCCTCAGGGAAGGAGCGCAGGCATTCACGCTCCAACTGCTCTAAAAATAAAGCAGTTGGGGCAGGCAGGAATTTTTCCTTTCTTCTCTGCAGCCAAGGTCCCGTTTCCACTGACCCTCCGTTTTAAGCCTATGCTGCAGCAAGGAATCGAACTGCTCACTTTGGATGCATCCTGGTAAGAACCTCCTTTTACTTAATCAAAACAAAGCCAAAGTCTAAAACCAGTGTCTCTTGAACAACAGGATGTGCAGTTTGCATCCTTCAGTGGAATAGGTTTTTAAAGTTTTTTTCCAGGGGCCAGTGCTGTGGCGTGGCAGGCACAGCCACCACCTGCAGTGCTGGCATCCTGTATGGGCACTGGTTCAAGTCCTGGCCAGCTCCCTAGTAATGCGCATGGGAAGGCAGTGGAGGATGGCCCAAGTCCTCGGGCCCTTGCACCACATGGGAGACCCAGAAAAAGCTCCTGGCTCCTGGCTTCAGATCAGCCCGGCTCCAGCCATTACAGCCATTTGGGGAGTGAATCAGCAAAAGGAAGACCTCTCTGTCTCTCTCTCTGCAAATCTGCCTTAGGCTAATCCTTCGCCTGCGGCGCTGGCAACCCCGGGTTCTAGTCCCGGTTGGGGCACCGGTTCTGTCCCAGTTGCTCCTCTTCCAGTCCAGCTCTCTGCTGTGGCCTGGGAAGGCAGTGGAGGATGGCCTAAGTGCTTGGGCCCTGCACCCGCATGGGAGACCAGGAGGAAGCACCTGGCTCCTGGCTTCGGATCGGCGCAGTGCCGGCCATGGCAGCCATTTGGGGGTGAACCAACGGAAAAAGGAAGACCTTTCTGTCTCTCACTGTCTAACTCTGCCTGTCAAAAAAATTTTAAAAAATTAAAAAATAAAACTTCTGAAGATGCCATGGCTGGATTATGGGAACTTTTTTTTTTTTTTAAGTTTTATTTATTTGAGGGGCTTGTGCTGTGGCATAGTGGCATAATGAGATAAGCCTCTAACGACGATGGCAGAATCCCCTGTCCCGGCTGCTCTACTTCTGATCCAGCTCTGCTATGGCCTGGGAAAGCAGGAGAAGATGGCCCAGGTGCTTGGGCCCCTGCAGCCGAGTGGGAGACCAGGAAGAAGGGCAGCCTGGGTCTTGACTTCAGATCAGCCCAGCTCCAGCCATTGCGGCCATTTGAGGATTGAACCACCAGATGGAGGACCTTTCTCTCTTTCTCTCCCTCTGTAACTCTGCCTCTCAAATAGATAAAATCTTCCAAAAAAAAAATTATTTATTTGAAAGACAGCTTTACAGAGAGAAAAGGAGAGAGATCTTCTATAGGCTGGTTCACCCCCCGAATGGCCACAGTGGCTGGCACTGAGCCAGGCCAAAGCCAGGAGCTTTGTTCAGGTCTCCCATGTGGGTACTGGGGCCCAAGCACTGCCATCCTCGGCTGCTTTCCCAGGTGCATTTTCAGGAAGCTGCATTGGAAGTGGAGCAGCCAGGACTGAAAGCAGCCCCCACATGGGATGCTGGCATTGCAGGCGGCCGTGGTGTTAGAAGGAATCAGACACAAAGCAGAGTAATGGGCCGTGGGCGTCACCCATGGTAAACCTGAGCCGCTACGGTTAGAGCAGAGGGGCAGTCGACCAGATGCTGGGTGCAGCTCCACCACACACAGCTCCGCTGGCGGAGAAAAGCTGTACCTTATCTGGATGGCGAGCTCCTAGTAGACTTCTACCCCCACTCTCCTTTGAGAAAAGCTCATTTAACTTTTCTCGGCATCTGGGTAAGTGTGTGCCTGACGTGCTCACGTGGACAGAGGGTAGGCGGGAGCCTGTGTGTAGTTCCCGTGGCAGGGGGGTCAGCAGTGTCACGTGCTCACAGGCCCTTAGACTCCTGCTGTTTTGTGACCCTAGTGCTGGAATGAAGGGTACAGTGTTTCTGTGTGTCATGTTTCATACTCCTTTTAGCTTGTCTTATACACACGTATTTCTTTTTTGGGTTCAGGGCGAGAAGCCTCAGGAGTAAAGCCCACAACTTGGAAGGCTCGCCCAGCAGTGTCACCCTCAGCTTTGCCAGGATTTCTGAAAGTTGCCTCTGGTGCTAACATCTCTGATGGCATCTCAAACAGCAGGCATCTGTCTCTGAGCCACAGAGAGAGAGAGAGAGAGAGAGAGAGAGAGAGAGAGATCTTCCATCTGCTGATTCAGTCCCCAAATAGCCACCATAGCCAGGGCTGGCCAGGCTGAAGCCAGGAGTCAGGAACGCCATCCTGGTGTCCCCCGAGGGCCATCTTTCACTGCCTTCCCAGGTGCGTTAGCAAGGAGCTAGATGAGAAGTGGATCGGCAGCAGGGACTGGAGGCGGCTCTCTGACATTGGATGCCGCTGTCACAAGCTGAGGCTGAACCTGCTCTGCCAGGACGCCGGCCCCGGCAGTGTTGATTTAGCATACCTCTGTCGCGGGAAGGATACCGAAGAATACCTTCTCACCTGTATTTCCTTCTTGGCTATGCGTTGTCTCATAAAGCCCGTCCCAGGGAACTTGTTCACGCATGCTGCACAACTCTGGTGTGAGAGTGTGTGGAGCCCACACTGTCTGCCTTTGCCTTGCCAGGGTGAGTTCTGCATCCTGGTACTTCCTCAACGTGTTTGGGCTTCGGAGCATTTATTCTCTGATTCTGGGCCAAGACAACGGTAAGAAGCAAGTCGGGTTTCAGGAGCAAAGAGCTGCATAGCTGGGTCATGCAGACCACACGTGTGATGCTGTCTGCCAGCACACTCACATGCACTGCTTTGTTCTTACGTGTCTGAGGTGTGCTGGCAGAGCTGAGAATTCCAGGGCGCAGACAGGAAATCTGCATTCTCCCTGGCAGTCCCCAAAGCCTGAGCCCTTCTTGGGCGGGATCCCAGAGCAGCAGCCTGAGCCCGTCCCCTGGAGCTGGGAGCAGGCCGGTTTGGTCAGTGAGTGAGTTAGATCCTGCCGGTGCTTGTGCTGGCTGTCTTTCGTGACCGGGACCTCACGTGGGTTACCTGACCACGCTGGTCCTCCAGGTGGTTTCCTCTAAGCAGGCACCCTAATCCCTTACCTGCAGGGCGCTTGGACCAGATACGTGGACACACAAACTGGAAATAAAGGGGAGTGCATCCTTCAGTTAGCTCTGCTGTTACCACTGCCATTTTTAAGAGAGATAAAGGGACTTTGCCAGAGTCACATAGCCAGTGGGTGACAGGGCCCGTGAGCTACCCCTGAGCACCGAGAATTGCACGTGACGCCCGTTCTTGCCAAGCCCTAGCCCTCCCGTCTCTGTGTTCCCTTGCAGCCGCTGACCAGTCACGGATGATGCAAGAGCAGATGACTGGAGCAGCCATGGCCATGCCTGCAGACACCAACAAAGCCTTTAAGGTGCGCCCCATTGCCCTTGGCCTTCAGAGCTGTAGTGTGGCACTGTTCCCTGTTTGAGCCTGCAGTTGGCAAAAATACACGTTACTTGTTCCTGAAACAAATCATGTAGTAAGTAAATTAGAGATTCTGTTTGCTTTTACTGATTTTTAAGTGCTCAGTTGAGTCTCAGACTACAGTCCAGCCAACGACATACCAGGTAAACATTTGGAGTCTTTTAATCCTTTTTGGAAAATGTAGACATGAAATATAAATTATATCCAAAAAATCAGTACTTACAGCCTTTTCATGACTCTGCAGTTTGTAAAATCCCATATAATTTTTGTACTGCAAAATCAATTGTTTTAATATTTATTTTTATTATTTATTTGAAAGGCAGTTACAGAGTTAGAGAGACACACACACACAGATTCACGCCCCAAATGGCCACTACAGCCAGAGCTGTGCCAATCTGAAGCCAGGAGCTTTTTCTAGGTCTCACACATGGGTGCAGGGCCCAAGGACTTGGGCCATCTTCTACTGCTTTCCCAGGCCATAGCAGAGAGCTGGACTGGAAGTGGAGCAGGTAGGACTCGAACCAGCACTCATACGGGACGCTGACATTGCAGGCGGCAGCTTTACCTGCTACACCACAGCACCCGCCCCTCAATAGTCTTTCATGATAAAAACTAGACATAGAAGGGAAATTCCTCATCCTGATAAAGGACAGCTCTGAAAACCGCACAGCTAACGTTATACTTGGAAACTCAGAGTTTTTCCCCTGAGACTATGACCGAGACAAGAATGTCTGCTCGTGCCACTTCTAAGTAACATTGTGTTAGATGTCCCAGCCAGGGCAGTTAGGCAAGAAAAATAAATACTGGATTAGGAAGGAAACACAGCTCTCTTTGCAGGGCACACTATCCTAAGTGTCCACAGCGCCACATGGGCAGCAGTTCAAGTCCTGGCTGCTCCACTTCTGATGCAGCTCCATGCTCATGCACCTGGGAAGGCAGCAGAGGGTGGCCCAGATCCTTGGGTCCCTGCACACATGTGGGAGATCCAGAAGAAGCTCCTGGCTTCACGCTGGCCCAGTCCTGGCCATACTGGCCATTTGAGGAGTGAAGCGGCAGATGGAAGAAATCCTTCCCTTCCTCCCTCCCTCCCATAGAAAATATTTAGCAATAAATCTAACAAAAGAAAAGCCAAACTTGTATACTAACGATTTCAAAACATTGCTGAAAGAAATTCTTTTTTTTTAAGATTTATTTTATTTATTTGACAGGGAGAGTTACAGAGAGATAAGGAGATACAGAAAGAGATCTTCCACCTGCTGTTTCGCCCTCCAGATGCCTACAATGGCTGGGGCTAGGCCAAACCAAAGCAGGAGCCAGGAGCGTCTTCTAGGTCCCCTATGTGGGTGGCGGGGGCCCAAGCACTTGGGCCGTTTCTGCTGCTTTCCCTGGGGTATTGGCAGGAAGCTGGTTGGGAAGTGGGGCAGCATGGACTTGAACCAGTGCCCCTGTGGGATGCCAACTCTGCAGATGGCAGCTTACCTGCGCAGTACAGTGCCAGCCCATGCTGAAAAGTCAGAGACCAAAATAAACAGAAGGTGTTCGTGTTCATGTTTTGGAAGAGTTAACAGTGTTGAGATAGTGCTGCTCCTCAAACGAAAGATTCAACACAGTCCCTGTCAAAGTCTCGTCTTTGGTAGGGAAATTGAGAAGCGGATCCGAAAGCCTGTGTGGGTGAGACAGTAAAGGCAAGGAGAGATACCAAGGCGGCGGAATAGGGAGGGACGTACTGCTCTAGTCTAGGGAGATACTCTAAGAAGGCATGTAGAGTGGGGGAGAGACCGGCAGGGGAAGCTCCACGCAAATTAGAGGGACACAGCGGATCTACGTGGAGGGTGTGAACAGCACAACTCGGGACCCCAGCAGCGAGAGCCTCAGCAACACCTTTGGAGAGTGAGGTGAGACCAGAATGCAGCAGCCCCAGCCACGGGCAATAAAGCTCCAGGAAGAGCCTGCCCTCAATTTGGCTTAGAACCCTGTGGGGGCTGGGGCCAGTGCTGTGGCGCAGTAGGTTAATCCTCTGCCTGCAGTGCTGGCATCCCACGTGGGCGCTGGTTCTAGTCCCGGCTGCTCCTCTTCCAATCCAGCTCTCTGCTATCGCCTGGGAAAGCAGTAGAAAAAGGTCCAGGTGCTTGGGCCCCTGTACCTGTGTGTGAGACCCAGAAGAAACTCCTGGCTCCTGGGTTCAGATTGGCTCAGTTCTGGCCATTGTGCCTCTTTGGGAAGTGAACCAGTGGGTGGAAGACCTTTTCCTCTCTTTCCCACACTGTAAATCTACCTCTCAAGTAAGTAAATAAAATGTTAAAAAAAAAAAAAAGAAAAGAAAAGAAAAGAAAGAAAAAAGAACCCTGTGGGGGACAGTACACCTGCCAACCTCCAGGGAAAAAGAGAGAACACGTTTCTCTCCCGACCACCGGCACCAGCGTGTTTAACTGGCCTAGAGAGGTGGGTGCCGTTCTGGACATGTGGAACAGCTGCACTAGCTCATGTCTGCACACCCAGCATCCAGCCGAGAGGAGATGCCAGTGTCTGCTGGGAGAAAGGACAGGGGGCTGGGTGCTCATGACTAGGAGCTTTGTGTGCTGGGACCGTGAAAACGCTGTGGCTGCGTCTGAGGGCGCAGGGTGAGGCTGGGTCTCTGGGCAGTCACTGTGGGCTGCTCCACACGCTCGGGGCTCCCCGATTCCCTGCTGAGGGTCACTGCGGCGGGATCCGTGCTCACATGGAGGACTGCATGGATCCTGTGTGTGGATCTTGTGCCAGTGCAGACAAATATTATACCCACTGCGGCTAGGACCCGGCACTGGCCTCCTTGGAGGAGTGAGCGTGAGACTGTGCCACCAGAGCAGATTAAACCTCCCCTCTGATTAAAAAAAAAGATTTATCACACCCAACTTGGGAACTTGGGTGTCACCCTGGACACTCCCACACCCTAGAGCCTTAACAGAGCTCCCCTGCCACACCCAGCACACGCCTCGGGGTATTCACTGAAAGAGTGGACCCTCCGCTAAGCCACAGAGGCCTAATCCAAAGGTAAAAGCCCTCATGGGGGAAAAAAAGTATCTCCACAATGCCTAAAAATAAACCCAACAGCCAGCACTATGGTGCAGCGGGTTAAAAGCCGGGCCTGCAGTGCCGGCATCCCATATGGGCACTGGTTCTGGTCCCAGCTGCTCCTCTTCCCATCCAGCTCTCTGCTGTGACCTGGGAAAGCAGTAGAAGATGGCGCAAGTCCTTGGGCTCCTGCAGCCACGTGGGAGACCCAGAAGAAGCTCCTGGTTTCAGATAAGGAAGACACCATGGTGCCTTCAAAGGAACGCACCAGCACTTCAGTACGAGAATGTGAGAGTGAAGACTGAAGAAATGCCAAAAACAGTCAAAAAATTAAAGTCATCAGAAGCTGTCTATTTTTAAATGAAAGTATAAGAATGCTTTCTGATTCAAGAAACTCCTTATTAAACTGCTTCCTTACCGTCCTTTCTGCTGTAGCATAAAAGTGAGCCTGCGTTTGAATAACCGCCAGCAGGTGACCAGTCACGAGGGAGCCACTTCTCAGTTTCCAGTCTTTTTGCTTATGTTGCAACAACTTACAAATGTTTAGTTTTTGTATCTAGTCTGATTATTATAATGTTTATAGTTTATTTTTACCAAAGAAATGCAATTCATATGACAAAGTATTGCAGAATAAACAGTTCTATAATCAAAAAAAAGTAATCAAGCAAATCCACAAATTAAAGAAATTCGTACATGACATGTGCTCCGGTGCGGGATGCGGGTCTGGCAAGTGGTGGCTCCCCCCACTGCAGCACAATGCCAACTTTAAAAGGAAAACTTGGATGAAGCAGTAACATGAAGGGCCAGTGTTGTGCCACAGTGTGTTAAGCCACCACACGGGACCCTGGCATCCCAGTACAGCACTGGCTCAAGTCACTGTTACTGCACTTCTGAATCAGCTCCTGCTAACACACCTGGAAACCAGCAGACAATGGCTTGATCAAGTACCTGGGTTCCTGCCACTTGTGTGGGAGACCTGGATGGGTTCCCTGGCTCCTGGCTCCTGGCTCCAGCCTGGCCGGGCCCTGGCTGGGACAGCAGTTTGGAGAGTGAACCAGTAGATGGAAGATCTCATTCTTTCTCTCTTTGTGTCGATTTTCAAATAATTTTTTTAAAGATTTATTTATTTGAAAGAGTTACACAGAGAGAGGAGAGGCAGAGAGAGAGAGGTCTTCCATCTACTAGTTCACTCCCCAATTGGCTGCAGTGGCCAGAGCTGTGCCGATCCGAAGCCAGGAGCTTCCTCCCGGTCTCCCACGCGGGTGCAGGGGTCCAAGGACTTGGGCCATCTTCTGCTGCTTTCGCAGGTCACAGCAGAGAGCTGGATTGGAAGTGGAGCAGCCAGGTCTCGAACTGGCGTCAATATGGGATGCCGGCACTTCAGGCCAGGGCATTAACCTGCTACCCTACAGCGCCAGCCCCAAGTTTTTTGTTTTTTGTTTTTTGTTTTTTTTTTAAGAAAAAGAAACATAGCATGAGCCAACATTTGTATTGTATATTAAGTTTCATAATTCTTAATATTTTTTTGAGAGGTAGAGTTACAGACAGTGAGAGAGAGAGAAAGGTCTTCCCTCTGTTGGTTCACTTCCCCGATCCGAAGCCAGGAGCCAGGTGCTTCTCCTGGTCTCCCATGCGGGTGCAGGGCCCAAGCACCTGGGCCACCCTCCACTGCCTTCCCGGGCCACAGCAGAGAGCTGAACTGGAAGAGGGGCAACTGGGACTAGAACCCAGCGCTCACTTGGGATGCCGGCGCCACAGATGGAGGATTAACAAAGTGAGTCACGGCACCAGCCCCTCATAATTTTTTTTTTAATATATTTATTTATTTGAAAGGCAGAGTTAGAGAGAGAGAGTGAGAGAGGTCTTCATCTGCTGGTTCACTCCGTAAATGGCCGCAACAGCTGGAGCTGCGCTGATCCAAAGCCAGGAGCAGGAGCTTCTTCCGGGTCTCCCACGCGGGTGCAGGGACCCAAGGACTTGCGCCATCTTCTGCTGCTTTCCCAGGCCACAGCAGAGAGCTGGATTGGAAGTAGAGCAGCCGGAACTCGAACTGGCACCCATATGGGATGCCTGCACTGTAGGTGGTGGCTTCATCCACTCTGCCACAGTGCCAGCCCCCATAATTCATTTTTTAAGACCCACTAATTTGAGGCAGAAGTAGTTAGGTTAATATTATCTTTAAGAAGTAGAATCTCTTGTGGAGTGTTGCCAGTTCCATCTATGAATGGCTTCCATTCAAATGACTACTTGCCAAAGCAGTTTTCTGGTTTACACTCTCCACGTCTTTCTTCCAATGATGAAATCATCAGAGTGCCAGATTCCTGGACTCCCACAGACTGGAGTGAAATGCCATCATGTACGGAACATAAGGTTGGGCACATGTTCTCAGGGCCTTTGGAGATGTTCCCAGCCATTTCCATCAGAGCCTCTCTGACCCTGCACAGCTGAAACCAGATGAAGGTCCTTGATGAAAGAGCCCAGACTCGGAGCTCTGACTTGTCCCCGTGTGTCCCCAGGGCTGGTGCCGCGCAGAGAGCCTGGGCTGACAGGTCCCACACTGGGGCTCTGGAGTCCCGTTCCCTGCAAAACCTTGAACATAGTCACGCCCCCGCGCCCTTGGCCCCCTTTTCTGTGCGTTGAGGGGGAGGGTAGGAGGCCACAGCACCCCCCACCCCCTGCTGGGACAGAATGGCCTCGAGGTGGTGGCTAGGGTCGGTCCTGGCTGTCGGTGACAAAGCCCTTCTCACCCTGCTCTGCCCTGCCCTTCCTCTGCAGACAGAGTGGGAAGCCTTGGAGCTGACCGATCACCAGTGGGCGCTGGAGGACGTGGAAGAAGAGCTCATGGCCAGAGACCTCCACTTGGAGGGCATGTTCAAGAGGGAGCTGCAGACCGCCATATTCTGAAGGCGGAGTGGGGTTGCGGTCAGGAGCTTGAAGTAGTGCGTAGCGTGTAACGGGTCGGAGCTGGAGCCTCGGAATAAAGAGGATGCCGGGCTGGCGGGGCTCCTTCTGTCTGAGCGGGGCTCCCCCATGCTGGGGCCCGGAGGCACCCGGAGCACGCCGGCGACCTGCGGCTGAGCCCGTGTTTTCAGTGTTCCTTCCGCGACGCCAGGCCTGCCGGGCAGAGGGAGCCCGGCTGCTGCGTGAGCATCTGCGACTCGGCTCGGGAGCAGCACCGTCGGCGTGAGCTCACGGGGTTCACGCACCCTTTCTAACCACAGCACCTTACCTTTAGTTCCCTCTAGCATTCTTAACTTGCTTCATAAGAGGACCACGTTCTCACTGCCGCAAACGTGGAAGTTACTGACGAGCAGCCTCAGGCTCCCTGTACTGTCCACTTGAGCCGCAGGCTGGCGTAGAGAGCGGACGTGGCCCAGCCTGACTGAGACCAGCTCGAGAGTGAACGCCCGGGCCAGGGCCCACTGCGCCGTCACACGCACGTCTCAGTGCTGTCCAGGGAAACCATGAGCCCATGGCACTGCGCGCTCCCAGGTGCCTCTGGGGCCATCGCAGACAGGTTGTGTAATTCAGGGTCTTGATCCAACTCCAGAATCTGTGAAACCCGATGGCATCTCAGAGTGTGTCTCAGTTCAAAGAAAGACCTCGTTTCCCAGCTTGCAGCTAAGGGGGCGTTTGTGCCTCCCTGGCCGAAGGGAGAGCCGGCAGATCAGACAGAGATGAGGCCCACAGGATTCCTGTCCGCGTCACAGGGCTGTAATTTGCATGCTGAGCACTGTAATCAAGAACAAACCACTCGACTCTACAATTAAACCCTCTGCTCTCCCTGCCCCTGACGGTGTTGCCTCTGGTGGGTTACTGGCAGCCCTCTGCCGACAGCGGCCTCTCCCGGGCCAGTGCCGCCCGGTCTCCCGGGAGAGAGCCTTTTCCGAGGTCCTGGGACCTCAGTATCTGGTGGGGGCAGTGACAGAGTCCTGCACACCCGAGTTTCGACACCCTGACCCTTAACAATAACAGAGATTGCCCCAAACCACACGTTAAAGGAGCCAAGGCTCACAAGGGCTCGAAAAGCCTTCCGTGCAAAAGGGCTTCCAAGCAAGGGGAGCTCACTCAGCGGCGGCCACAGGTGCACGTGCCCGCGACCCCGGCACCCCCGAAGGCAGGACGGGGACAGCCTGCACCGCAGGTGGGGCGGAAACACCAGCTAGTCGGTAGTGGGGGTGACGTCGCCCTCGCTCCCACAGGGCGGCACCAGAGCACGTGCGGCGTCTGCCTGTCATCCACCCGGGATGCGGCTCCTCCCCTTGTCGCACAGTTGGGTGTACGACGTGCGAATGGTCAGACCCAGCGCGCTGGCAGTAGACACACAGCTTTGGCACCAGCAAGTTGCGCAGGAAAGCCAGCTGTGCCGGAGCCGCTGCCCGAGCCAGCACGCCAGCCCCCGTTTAGGAAGCAGGGCCTGCTGCTCAGCGTTGGCTGTGGTTCAGTTTGGGGCAGGCACTGAACAAGCCCGCCTACGGAGGAGAGCTAAGCATCCAGTCGGCTGCACGACGCAACTCGGGACAGCAGGGAACAGAGGGACAAGGGTCAGCTTGGTCACTAAGCTTACGATGCAAGTGAGGACTAAGTGAGGAACACCACAGTCGCAGGCGGCAGAAATTCACCCTGACGTAAGCCACTGAGGGAGGTAACTGGCCCTGGAACCCCAGTGTCCAGTGGTCACTCGCTGCAGGCACGCGGGCTCCAGGGCCTCAGCAGGTCCTCGAGGCCCAGCAGCAGGGTGGGCATTTCCCACAGCGGTTCAGACCCGGGGCCCACACGGAGTTGCCAGGGTTTGGCTGCTGGCTCCTGTCTCTGGCTTCCTGCTCGTGTGGATTCCAAGGCAGTGGTGATGGCTCAGGTAATTGGGCCCCTGCTACACATGTGCGAGACCTGGACCGAGTTCCCAGCTCCTGGCTTGAGCCCTGGCCCAGCCCCAGCCATTGCACACATTTGGGATGTGAATTAGCTGATCAGAGATTTCTTTCTCTGTCTCAAAAAAGTTAAGTTTAAACATTTTTCAGGAGCCAGCACTGTGGCAGGGCCCGTAAAGCTGCCCCCTGCAGTGCCAGCGTCCCATGTGGGCCCTGGTTCCAGTGGCTGCTCCACTTCCCATCCAGCTCCCTGCGGATGTGCCTGGGGAAGCAGTAGAAGATGGCCCAAGTGCTTGGGAAATCTGGATGTAACTCCTGGCTCCTGGCTTCAGATCAGCCCAGCCCCGGCCACTGCAGCCATTTGGGGAGTGAACCAACGGTCGGAAGACCTTTCTGTCTCCCTCACTCTAACTCTACCTCAGAAAGAAAGCAAAGAGAGAAGTAAGGCACCCTTAAAATTCCAGTGGAAGTCAGGGTTGCACTGTTGCGCCTGCTTGGGTGATAGACAAATGGCAGCAGCTTCATGATCCGCCCTAGGGAAATGCCAAGGACTGACGATGGGGTCAGGGGTGGGTCCCCAAAGGAAGCCTGGCTGCTGTGGTCAGAAGAAGGTGGCATGGGTGCCAGGCAAGGCAAGAAAAAATGCTTTTCCGTTTCATCACCCAAACTGGAATGTTCCCCAAAGCAGGCAGCGTCTGCTCCCGGGAGGGCAGCTTATTACACTGCCTGGTGCCATGCTGGGTCCTATCGTCTTCATGGTTATTAAGATTATTTACTTAATTGAAAAGCAGAGCAATAGAGAGAGAGATAGAAGGTCTTCCACTTGCCGGTTCTCTCCCCAGATGCCCACAACAGCCAGGCGAAAGCCCAGAGCCAGAATACCCTGGGTCTCCCCCAAAGGACCAGGGCCCAAGTACGAGGGTGACCCTCTGCTGCCTTTCCAGGCACACTGCTAGAAAGAGGGTCACAAACGGCAGCGGGGACCCGGATCAGCGCTCCAGCAACCACGCAGGTGTCGCGAGCAGCGGCTCAACCGGCTATCTTCCCTTACTGCTCCTTCAATAAACGTGGAACGGACGGACCCTGCAGGCACTGCCCACCAACAGGACTCACTCACAGACCTGGCAATCTGACCGCTGCGATCCCAGGGAGGCTGTGTGATGCCCTGTGGGTCATCTAACCAAGCTGTGTGAGATAACCAAGGCTTGGTCGTATAACCAAGCCTCCTGGTGGAGGCATCATCCCAACCAAGATGTGAAAGACCAAGGAATCTACCGGAGAAACAGGCTTTCTTGCCATAGACCATGATGCAAGGTCCAAGAGCCAAAGCTTTCCAACGAGCCCCGCAGGACCCTCAAGTGCAGGTGGTACCCAGAGCTTGGGCGGGGCGCTTTGCGGGGGCAGAGAGCGTGGGCACAGGTCAGAGTGAGTAACCCTACTCCAGGAAACCGGGCCAGGGAGGAAGCGGCAGTGGGGCCCAGGACAGAGGAGCTTCGACTGGCAGACGCTGGGGAAGGACTGGCGGGCAGGGATTCCCTGCTGGGTGGGGACGGAATGACGGGGGCTGCGGGAGTGAGAGCCAGA